CTCAGCATCCGCACGCCCTCCTTAGCCCTAGTGGAAATCAGAGCATCATTTTAGTTGAAGGAAAGTTTCGGTCACTCCCAGGAAAAGAAGCAGAGTTGCAGGATTCCTTCCCTGTGGATGGGGTGAGAAGCAAAGAAGCAGGGTCACCGGGAGCACACGCCTGTGACAGGATTGTTGGAGCTGAAGCCTCTCCATTTCCATAGGTCTGACTCTGAGAGCCTGGAAAAGGCATCGTGGGAACTTGGGGAGGGGGCGGGGCAGCGTGGGAGGGGTGGTTCCCAAAACGCAAGTCCTTATCTAACGTCCAGACTCTAGGCAGGATGCTCCCTGGTGGATGCCTGGGAGGTGACTCTGCCACTCCACCTCGGGCCCCCGGGCCCCACCCGCCAGCCGCATCTTTGTCCCTCCACACATGCGTTTGGTCGGCCCAGCTACAAGAACATCTCAGACCAACCCTTTCTGGTCCTTGCTTGCCCTGCAATCTGCCAGCCTCTTTCTCTCATAGTAATAAAGTCGGACCCCTTGCCTCTGCTCCGTCTTCCCCTCCTCGACTCTGCTCTCTCCATGTCATTTTACTTCTTTGCTGTTCCACCGGCGTTGCTGACCTTCACCAACTGACCGAGGAGGTTGAGTCCCTGCTCCCACCACTCTTATCTCACTGTAGGTGGGGCTCTTGGCTTGCCTCCACCCCAGACCCTTTGCATTGGCTCCCCCTGAGCCTCCTGCACTTTTCCTGGGATCCATCAGGGCATCCTTGGACTCCTGCAGCATTTTCTCACCTTTCTCTTCTCAGCCAGACCACCCCCCCTGCCCCCACCCCACCCTGACTTTCTGAGTTTTTGCACTGTCAGTTCTTCTCTCTCCTCACCTTCTACTCCGGCGTGATCTCTCTCCGTAGCACTGGCACTGTCCCAAGTTAATATCACTTGGTGCTACTTCTTTTTTCCCCTCTCCCTAGGATAAAAGTTCTGTTGGGATAAGGAGAGATTTTGGATTCTTTTTCTCACTGAGGTAATCCTGGAACAGTGGCTGCATCAGTGGTTTGTGAGGCCCAGGGCGCAGCAGGCCACAGGGAGGGAAGTACCCCACTGTGACCCAGACTCTCCTGTCCTCACCAGCACCCCTGGCCCCCAGCACTTTCAGGGAAAAGTGACAATTTTTATGACACTGCCATTAGTTGTTCTGTTTTTTTTTCTGGTGGGTAAATATTTACACGGAACACTTAAAACAGAGTCGGGCATGTGGCAGAGGCTCCCATAAGTGTTTATTCAATAAGCAACAAATGTTTTATCAAGTATTTTGTGATTTTATATGAAACACTGAAAACAATGAAATACTGTCCTCCCGTTTTTCATCGATTTGCTTGAGCGGTCCCAGTAACGTCTCCATTGTGAGACTTCTTGTTACTGTGTTTGGCATATTGAATCTCAGTAGCTTGCCAGGCTCTCTGAGAGGGGCGGAGGACCCGAACCTGGCTCAGCCAGGCTGGCTGTGTGCAAGGCAAACGCCCTACCGCTGCGCTATATATATATATATATATATCTATATCTATATATATATATATATCTATATATATATGCGCAGAATGGGAACAAACCTTACGAGGTTGGAGTGGCCAAAATGCCCTCCTGGAAAGTGCCCTCATTTCCTAGCTAGAAGGGAGGCCAGTCTCCAGCTTGCTTTGGAAAAAAAGTGACTGTGAGCACTTGCTTCACCCCCCCCCCCCCACCGTGTCTCACCAAGATCTCCCCAGTGAGCTCTTGGGATCAGGATTATGAATGCGGGGGAATTTGTGGCCTAACCTCTAAAGAGCTGCTCTGGGCCTGAAATCTATCGCCTGCCCGGTTCTGGCCGGGGTCCGCTGCAGCTACTGGAGCCGGAAAGCCTCTGGAAGCTTCTCTGGCACAGAAACTCCTGCTCGCCGGTTTGGGCGGCTGAGAGCGGCAGCCCCTGCTCAGCTGGGGTGAGACTGCTCTCTTCTGCCTGTATCCTCGCCGTGGCCAGGGCCACCCCATCACTTAATGCTTTCCCGGAGGCCGCACCTCTGGGTACTCTGACACGGGCCTTTGGCCTTCGCCTTGTGAATGAGGTCCAAGCATCGGGTCACTGCAGTTAGGAAGGCCACTGGCCACAGGAGTAATGAAGAAGCGGGCTGTGCCATCTGTCCACCTCCCGGGTGACCGTTCTCACGGCAGGCTCTCTGCTAAGGTCTGTACCTGCGTGCCTGGGTCTCACATGGTGGGGACTGGCCGGCCCACTTCCTCACGCTGGAGTGGAGAGATGGCTGGAGTGGGGCAAAGTCAGAGCGTCACTGCCTCCTTCTATTGGTGAGGCCAGAAGGAAGAGGTCACCTGCTGCCCAGTAACCAGCGTGACAAAGCTTGCCCACTCATCTCCACACTCAGGGAATGAGACTAGGATGTTAAAAGGGGCATGAGGCCAGTGTTCTCAAACCGCCTCGGCTGGACATGAGAAATAGCTGCCGGGAGTTTCTAAGTCCTGTTGCCTGGGGAGGGAAATCAGGTGTCAGTTAGGTCGGGAGAAGGCTCTTTGGAGCCGTCCCCAGCAATGCCCATGGCTGACTCCTGGCTCTGTGCTCAGGGATCACTCCTGGTGGTGCTCAGGCGGCCCTCTGCAGTGCCAGGGATCAAACTGGAATCAGTGAGCTACAAAACAAGCACCTTAGCCTCTACACTCACTCTCTGATGCCCAGACATCAATATTTTTTGTAAATTCTGCAGAGAACAAGAGAGGAGATGACAGTAATACCTACGGTTCCAGAAGTACAAGAGAAGCTGAGAATGAGCCAGGCGTAAAATGGGCTTAAAGGATCTGAGAATCCAACAGCTAGTTTCAGGAGGGGGCAGGGGTGGCTTGTGGCTTGTGCAGCAAGCCCTTTCCTGTTCTAGAACTTTTGGAAGGCTCAGGTGTTCAGTTCAGAGAGAGGTGGAGGGGAGCTTGGCTTCTTTGCAGGCAAGTCTGGGGGTGGGTGGTGCCATCCCGGCATCAGAAGGGGGGCCTAGAACTCCATGTCCTGGGCTCACACCACATTTATCTGGACCCAGTTGCCCGAAGCTGCCTGCCCCAGGCGTCTGCAGATGGGGGCCGCTTTCATCAAGTGCTGCCAGGCTCTTGGAGGAAGTAGCCAAAGTGAAAGGCAGAAATGAGCTGGGGAGGGGGGCGGGGAATGCCAGCTAACCTGAAAAAAGTCAGTAGAGAGAGATGTGTGGGTGTCGGGATTTAAGAATCAAATCAACTTGGGTGAAAAAGGAGACCGTATTGAAGATTATTTCACTTTATATATTTATGTGATTTACAGTATTGATGACGGCAGGGATTCAGGCAGGAAACATTCCGACACCACACCCTCCATAGAGCGTCAGTGTCCCCCACATCGTGTCCCAGCGTCCCCTCCCCCCTGCCCCTCCCCCCCTGCATGATACACTTCCTATTGAAGATCAGCTCCCAGGACTGGAGTGACAGTACAGCAGGGAGGGCACTTGCCTTGCAGCCCACCCACGTTTGATCCCCGGCATCCCATAGGGTCCCCCGAGTACCTCCAGGAGTCATTCCTGAGCATCGCTGGGTGTGGCAAAAAAAAAACCACAACAAAAATATCAACTCTCAGCTTCTGTTGCCTTTTGAGTTTTTGTCTCTTTATTATGTTACTTCACATATCACATTACAGAGCGCTCATTCTCTATCCCAATCTCTCCTCCCAACGCCACTCAGCATGGTAGGTTCCAGACCCACCCACATAGTCACCAATGGCATGATTTCATCTTTTCTTCTAGTTGAGCAGTATTCCATGGTGTTTCTGTGCCACGACCTCTTTATCTAGTCATCATTGGCCCTTGGCCTCTTGCTGAAGCCCCAGAGCTCTCCTCCTCCGCTCTGACTCCATCACTCTCTGTAGCGGTGGGGGACTCCTCAGGTCTCTTAACCTCTCTGTGCATCGGTGTCATCATCTGTAGAAATGCCAGTGATGATGCTAGTCAGAGAACCAAGGTTGGAGGATTGGTGGGGGGAGGGGGGAAGATGGGGGCAGGGAATCACTTGGAAACACCAGACCTTGAAGCTGAGTTTTAAAAGTCCTTTGATTTTACCAATTGAGTTGAGAAATCTCTTTAAGTTTAGAAAGACAGGAACAAGAAGGAAAAAAAGAGAGACTGCAGTAAACCCAAGTAGTCAAACAGGGAGAGAAAGGAATGAAGGAGAGAGGCCAGCGAGAGGGGCTGCAGCCGTCTTGCGGGTAGTGACCAGAAGCTTCTCCAGAGCTGGAGAGCCCCGTCCACACTGCCAAGGTCTTCTTAATGCCCGGCAGGGATGGCCAAGGGGGGCGACGAGGGCGCATCCAGGGGCGGTTGGGGACCCTCAGGGTAATGTGGTGCTCCCGAAGGGGTGCAGAGCAGAGAGCAGGTCACGGGCGCAGACGGGAGGAGCGTTCTAGGCAACGTGGATGGACTCAGGAGGGCCACATCAGTCACAGAGCCCGAGATGGTTTGACGCTTTTGTCACTGCAGAAACAGTGGCTGGTGTTGGCAGGGGGAGGGGAGGTGCAGCTCTGCAGGGAGGGGTACCCAGGGCGGCTCTCCCTGTGCCTCTGCCCCCTGCCCTATTCCTTCCTGGGGCTGCCTCATTTTGGCTGTGTCCATTTTCTGTCTCTTTTCCTTTCTCTCTCGTTCTCTGTCTCTCTATCTCTCTTTCTCTCTGTGTGTGTGTCTCCCTCTCCCTCCCCACCCCCCGCCACCCCAGAAGTCTGTGTTTGTCTAATAATTGGCAAGAGAGGGATTTTTTTTTTTTGCTTTTGCTTTTCGCTTTTTAAGTGATGAATAGTTGGCGCTAGATCAAAGACAAGCCCTGTGGTTTTCTGGCTGCCCCCGAAGGGCGGGACAGCTGGCCGCCGTCCCAGCTGCCCCGCAATGGGCATGTGCATGAGATACCAAGCTCCCAGGTCACCATGTGTGCTCATGTGTGTGCCTATGTGTGTGTGTTTTCCAGGCCAACAGCAGGCTGAAGCAGATCGAGAAGGAGTATACTCAGAAGCTGGCCAAGTCATCGCAGGTAAGCATAGCCCAACACAGAGCCCTCTCGAGGACCTCCCTGCACGCCAGCTGCCAGCTACCCCGCACTGCTTTCTGGTATTTGTGGATTTGCACCACATTTTTATTGGCACGTGGATAAATGAAGTGGGCTTTGAATATTTTCATCTTATTCGAGTTTTGTAATTAGACACATAGAACCATTGGAGCACAGGTGACATATACTGGTAACACACACACACACACACATACACATACACACACACATACACACACACACACACACACACACACACACACACACACACATAGAGGTTGTAAAACCAGCCTGTAGACTTGAACAAGCCCAGGCTGAAACCAATTTCGCAAGGGCAGAAGATACCCACCTACTTCTGTGATGTAAGCAGCTTGATACCATCTGGGCTTTTTCTTTCTTTCTTTTTTTCTTTAGGTTTTATTTTTTTTTTAATCAGTGCTCTTCATAGCTGCACCCAAAGACTACTTAACCACGCAAATCAAAGTGATTCATCTTCTGGGTAATGCTCACAGCCCAGCTGGTGGCTTCTTTGCGGGGAAGGAATCCTAAGTCCTCACATGTGTATCTCACTGTCTGTTGTTCTATAGTCATTTTTCAAAGGTCAACAATCGGGTGCTTGTTTCTACTTGACATATGATGCCAGAGAACGTTTTCGGCCCAAGTTGCTGTAATGATATCCTATAATATCATTTAGGGAATCCCAGGCATTCCTCAGTTGTATGAGTAATTCCAGAATAAATAAAGATGCATTTTCATCTTACAGATGGCTAGATTAAGCCCTTTAATTCCGTGGCATCACATCTAATGATTTTTTTTTTAAGAAGCTTTCCATGGTGTTTTGGCTCATAGACAGGGCTCTGTGGGAATGAAGTGACAATGACAGACCACTCTGTGTGTTACCACAGAATGGTCGAAGCAATAAGCCCAGCCACGAACTGGTCACTGAATCACAAACGTTTTCATGGCGCCCCCGCCACATGGACCCCCCAATCTTTAGTAACCATAACTCAGGTGAGAAGCAATCAACTCCCCATGTTTCCAGCTGAGAAAACTGAGACCAAGAGAAGGGATGTCGCACCAGGCAGTGGGTGATGACACCAGGGTCCAACCTGACCCTGACTCTGGAACTTCGTCTCGAAACCACCAGCCCACAGATCAGGGATGTAGCTGGGTGGCTGGAATCTTTATGGTGCTGTTCCTAAAGTTTTCCAATTATGTCTAAAATGTGTACGTTGCATCACTCACATCCCATATGAAAGCATTCCAGCTTTGTGTGAGTGAGGAGTTGTCTGTGCAGGGCCAGAGGGACTCAGGTACTTTTCTTGCACACAGTTGACCCTGGTTTGATCCTGGCACCATGTGTGACCCCTCCCCCCAACCCACACACCCTACCCCCACCCAGCACTGCCAGGTGTGATCCTTGAGCACAGAGTCAGGAGTGTTCCCTAAACTCATTAGATGTGACCCTCCACTCCCCTTCCAAAAGACTCGTCTATACACCTTTAGAAGATGGTTCTGGCTTGACGGCCATCATTCCAGACCTTCCCTGAGCAAGGGACTTGGGGAAATACCATTAACCTGAAGATCCCCAGCTGCCCCCCTCCCCTTGCATTTGCTTCGTTTGCTTTTATGCTGGTTGGGAGAGGCTGACCGAAAGTGTGATAGAAGATAGCTGTGAAATGCCTCCGTAATAGCAGTGCAAACAGGAGCAGTGAAGTTTGTCCAGAGGAACGTACAAACGTGCCTGATTAATTCATATGAAAGCAAATTCAGTGTGTGTCCTTGGGGGAGCGCGTCAGCTTTGAAGATGGACAGACCTGCCCTTGAAAGGCAGCAGAGCCAGGGGCGTGACCTTGAGGGAGTTACCTGGGTGCCCTGGAATTCAGTGTCCTCACCTGTAAAATGGGGCGGAAGTACTTACCTCATGGGATCGCTCTAGGCAGTGAGAGACACAATGCCCAAATGTGCTTAGTCCAGAGTAAAGCGCTGAAGTAAACGCTATCCCCTGCATCGTCCAGAATAAGGTACTTAATAACTGCTAGACATGTAAGAAATTTGCAATAGGGAAAGGGAAAGAAGGTAGTCATAATGAATTGAGGGTGTTCCAGAAAGAGGTAGCATTTATTGCAACAGCACTGTTTTGGGCTGTTTAAGACTTGACGAAATCTCTCATCTCCTGCTAAGATTTGGGGAGGTATTGAACAAGTATTGAATATTAAAACAGGTAGGAGGAAGAGGAGGTGGAGGAAAAGGGAGAAGGGGGAGAGGATGAAGAACTAGTTGGTGTCTGTTATCATGTATTGTAACCATCCTTTCAGAAAGGAAAGGAAAATGCAGCACCAAAAAAGAAAACTGGAGATCTTAGGAAGGGTCTGAACACATAATAAAATAGTCAGTCCTTCCTATAAAAGGTAAAAATGCAGCCATACACTGATAATATTTTTGCCCATCTACAAATCTATATAATTATTTACATGTGTAAAGGTATTTACATATGTATACATATATATATAGTTAGCACAGCGGTAGGGCGTTTGCCTTGCACGCAGCCAACATGGCTGACCCGAGTTCGATTCCCCTGCCCCTCTCGGAGAGCCCGGCAAGCTACCGAGAGTATCTCGCCCGCACGGCAGAGCCTGGCAAGCTCCCCGTGACGTATTCGATATGCCAAACACAGTAACAACAAAGTCTCCAATGGAGACGTTACTGGGCCTGCTCGAGCAAATTGATGATCAACGGGAGGGCCTTTACTTATATCTGTGAACTAATGTTTGGATTGGTTCAGAGGAGTAGATGATCTGAAAATGAATGTTATAAAGCAAACCATGGATTGACTTCTTTCTGTTTCCCAGTGCTAGTTTGCTGGAATCCCTGAGCTCTTATCGAAGCTGATGAGAATTTCAGAGCAAAGTTGCTTAACTGTTTATCGGATTTTTCAAAATCTCTCCAATACACCCCCCGCCCCTGTTCCCCAGAAAGTAATAAGATGGATGCATTAGTGATGACTGCATTGGTACTTGGGGGAACATCAGGTTAAATTTGGAAAATGTTTTCATTATTTTCCTCTCATAAATGAAGTTACTCAATCTTTAAGATGATATCAAGATAGGGCCATGGGCCATGCACACAAATGGGCCATGCACACCAAACCCCTGCCATACACGTGTCCACCATGATGGCCAGGCTGGCCCTGTCTTTGGGCACACTTCCAAGTGTCATTTCCATCAGAATCACATACTTGTTATTTTTATCTTAGTCTTACACATTAACCCTACCTCCTCAACCCCCTTGTAACATGCCCCCCCCCCCACACACACACATACACACACAAACACACCCCATTGAATTCATCTGGTGAAATGACTCACAAAGTAGCCAATTTTCAAAGAATTTTTCCGGAATGTGGGTTTTGTTTTTAAATTTTAGAAATGTGAGATGGCAGCAGACACTGCACCCCCCCACCCCCGCCTTCCTGCACTCCTGATGCCTGCCATGGCCTGGGCAATACCCTTCTCCTCCCTGCCCCACCATCAATCCGGGGTGGCAACCCCAGCAGTAGAGAGGGCTCAGGCGCTTTCTTCCCCCAACTCTTTGATCACGGCAAACATTTGCCAAACTACAATTGCCCTTGTCCTGTCATATTTTTCAAGAGAAGCTTAATGAAAGTTTCAACCTGAGGGCTAGAGAGGTAGTTGGCCTTGCCCAGTTTGGTCTCTGGCACCACACATGGTTCCCCTGAGCACTACTGGAGTAGCCCATGAACATGTAATGAGCCAGGAGTAAGTCCCCAAACACCCCTAGGTGTGCCCCCCCACCAGCTACCCCCCAGACTTAAACTTTGCCACTATCGGAAAAACAAGAGTGTGAGCAAGATGAAATCTTTACTTCTCCTTACAGTGGCTGGTTCCAGGGCTAGAGCCATAGCACAATGGATATGTGGCCCACATAGGTTCGATTCCCAGCATCCCAGATGGTCCGCTAGGAGTTATTCCTGAGTGCATGAGCTAAGAGTAACCCCTGTGCATTGCTGGGTATAACCCAAAAAGAAAAAAATTAGAATGGCTGGTTCCAGAGTATCCAGCTCAACAGGCTGCTGTGTACTGTGCAGATGAGAAGCCGGATTCCAACCCCAACATCACACAGGCCCCCAAGCACTGGCAGGAGTTACCCCTGAGCACAGAACCAGGAGTGGGCCTTGAGGAAAACAAAGAATCCCTGTTCTTTTCCACAAAGTCCTTAATAAAGCATTTAATATTTATGTAAAGTGCTGATTGCTTCACAATAATTTAACGATGATAGCATTAGTGGGAGAGATGTCTGCGCTACCAGTTCCAAGCAGCTGTTCTTTTGCTTCCCAGAATATTAATTTTCTTTCTCTGAGCCCAGTACAGGATAAACCTTTAGTTGAGTGGTAGCATTTTGTTTTAAATTATAACTCAACCAAAACTGGTGGGTTGTGATTATGGATGTATAAATTAGTTTTTATTTTTCCTCAGAAACATTTTTTATTATTATTCAATTAGAGAGGCTATATTATCTCCAGATAATTTGCCAGGTAATTATTTTTTCTTGTTTGCCATAATTGTAGTTCTCTGACTAAAATGTATGAGTCCAATTTCATGTCCTGAGCTAAAGTGAAAACAGTCTCTGTCTCACACTCCAGCTTACCAACCAGAAGAGTTTCGTTCCTAACCTAAAGCATATCTGTCATCTTGGAATGATTTCTTAATCACAAATTAAATCTCAAATCTGTTTTTGAGATTTATCCTTATTTTAGCCACCTCCCTATATTAACCTATCAACCAGTTATCTCTCTGGTTGGTTTGCCTAAGGTGTTTTTGACAACTCTCCCTTTCAGCACCTCCATCAGTTTTTGCAACCTTAAATGAAATAACTTTAAATAAAATAACTTTTAGGGGTTCCGGGAATAAGAGGGCCTGAAAAAATTAAACAAAATAATTTTAAATAACACACTTTTCCAAAGATAATCTCATTATTTTCCCAGCAGCATCTCATTATTTCCCCCCAAAGGAATGTCAAGGTTTTATTTTCCACACCAAAGCAAGCATGTTATCCTGAGAACATTCTTTGGACTATGCTCATTCTTTCTTCCAGAGCCTGCATTTATTTCTTTTGGGTGTACTCTTATAAATCTAAAAGTCAGAGCTCCCTTTTTCGTGTTCTCATTGTCATTGGATTTTTTTTTAGGTTTTTTTTTATTAAAAAATTTATTTGGGGGGCTGGAGAGATAGTAGCCGCTGGTAGGGCATTTGCCTTGCATGTGGCCAACCCGGGTTCAATTCCCAGCATCCCAATATGGTCCCCTGAGCACCCCCAGGAATAATTCCTGAGTGCAGAGCCAGGAGTAACCCCTGTGCATCGTCAGGTGTGACCCAAAAAACAAATACATATGTGTGTGTGTGTGTGTGTATGTATATATTTGATTTGGGGGCCACACCCAGCATTATTAGTTTTATGCTCAGTGTCATGCAGTGTGAGACTCAAAACCTGGGCTTCTGCAGTCACCGTCCACACCTTGTTATCATTTGAAATGCCGCCAAATAGCCTTATCTTCAGTCTTGGTCAGTTAAAAATGAATATAAATCCTAGTTTTAGAGAAGTATTTTCATTTTGAAAGTGTATTTCAGGATTGTGGTGGATTTGTGAATCAGTGCATGAGACAAAATCACATACAAACACAGACACTACACACACACACACTCACACACACACAAAACATACAATAAACTCATTGCAGAATTAAAATCACCACTTCTGTGAAGCTGTGGTTTGCTCAACTTGAAATACTGCATTAGCCAATGAAAGAGTAAGTTATTTTTACTATTTGGCCCCACGTTCTTACAAAATAGCAATCTGAAATTGTGTGTGGGGCCAAGGTAAACTGGCTTTTTTTTATCTCTTGCTCTTGTGATTGAGTGAGTTGATTTGTTCTCTGCCTCAATTTCTGACATTTACTCTAAGAATTTAACCTCCCCGGCTCCATAGAAGTGCTATGAGAAAGCCAGAATTGTAACAATATTTCACCAAAATTCAGAAAACAGGTTAAAAATTATTAATTCTCAGCAGATGATTTCTTCCATTCGTTGCAAAAGGTTTGCACTTGCATTTAAAAATATCAATAGATTACCGTTATGTTTTGTCATTTGGTTTACATTTGTCTTCAATTATCTACAAATTCTATGTGCTAAACTTTTTATAATGAGTTTGTCTAGTTCCATAAGCAGAAACTCTTTATTTCTTATTATAAATATGCTATTTGTGTCCGAGGTGAGCAACTAATATTTCTAGAGGAATTATTTTCTGGGAAACTCCTGATGGTCTCTATGTATTTCCTATAAGAAAACATATAATGCTTTTATCTAGTTTTGTCATCAGATCTTACTGCACTTAGCAGTAGGCTAACTTGGCCAGTCTTAGGTATAGGTATATAGAAACAACTGGAGTCTATTTTAAACCAGGACAGAAGTTGTTTTATTAGAAGAAAATTCATTCCCCACTTTCAATAAGTCTTTACTATTGAATTTGAAAGAAATGGAACCCAGGACTAGAAAGGTGGCTCAGTGGTCAAGCACCTGCTTTGGAGGCGTGAGACCCGGGGTTCAAGTCCAGGCCCAAGAATAAATGAATAAATGAAAACACCATATCCAGGCTGAACAAAAGAACCTGCTCTAAAGCCTGTTAAAAGGCCCATCATCAGATGAATAATTTGAGAACCTGTTAATCTGATAATGCAGGAACCCCATTAAGGAGGAACCCAATTTTCAAACCTGCAAAATGTGCTACAGAGAATGACAGTATTGCAACTAAAATCAATTTTCATGACTGTGTCTCAGTTAGGAAGAAAACAGCCTATGTGGATCAGTGCCGAAAGCAGGTGTTGACACAGTAACAGAACCTTGTGTCAAACAAGATAGGCTGGTTAGAGGAACCAGTCTGGGTCGCTATTGATCTGGCTGTGTGGTTCAGTGGAATGTATCCTTGGTGAAATGTTACATATTTCCCTCTTCCTGTACCTCTGTTTTCCCAGTTCTAAAAGCTGAGCTGTAATAATGCTTGTCTCACAACAGCAAATGACCTCGAAACTGAAGATCGTTTAGCACCATACACAAACATTAACGAAGACGCGACATTAATTGTCAATTAGGTGACTCTGAAGAATGAACTCTTGATTATTTTCTTTGCTTCTCACAGTTCACAGTATTATGAGAAGCAAAATAGCTTGCCTCGCTCTACTTTAAAGTTTATTTTCTCAATAGAATAAAATCTGAAGCTTTTCATATTTTCACGATCACAGATGTTCTTTCTTCAGATGAGCAAACCCTGTGGAATGTTATAGTGGACGTGTCTTCCAAATAATTTGGTTTGGCAGTTGTTCACCATTCACAGTTTTGTCATTGTCTCTTGTTGGATGGAATTCCATGCCTTAGCGAGTGCTATATGTCAGTTGAAAATATTTAGCTTGTGTAACAGGGTTTTGCCCAACCCGTCCTTCGGTGGGGGATAAATATGTACAAAAGGGATGCTTCCCACGGAAGAATTTGAAGTCACGGCATGCTGTTTTCATTTTAGATCATAGCCGAACTTCAGACAACCATTTCCTCTCTGAAAGAGGAGAGCAGCCGGCAGCAGCGGGCCGCAGAAAGGCGGCTCCAGGATGTTACACAGAAGTTTGAAGATGAGAAGAAGCAGCTGATTAGAGATAATGACCGAGCAATCAAGGTAATCTGACGATTCAGTAACCAGTGGGACCAGCTGCTTTCATGTAATTAAAAGGAGGGCTGAATTCCCAGCAGTGGGCAGATGGATGCAGGTATCTGGCCTGTTCACACAGCCTGCAGTCAGTTCCATTCACTGCACTCTACCTTTGATGTAGCCAGTGACTCAGGCTGACTTCCCTCGAAGAGATCACATGCCAGCAGAAAAAGTCATTTTTTGGGCCAGCCTGATCCATTCACATTGAACAAATATTTGAGAAATACTCTGTCCTTTCTCTTGAGAACCACTTTGGAACTGTCTCTTGAAATTAGAATGACGGTGTTAGCCCCGGACTGCCGGCCTAATAAATGCGGAAGCCAGCTTTCCAATTGATGTTCCTTTCTCTTGCCCACATCCTTTCATTATGGATTCGCATAATGAGAAATAACCTGTTTGAGGTTTGGAATGCCAACCATTTGATGTGCTTTGACATAGTACAGGATAGAAGTCTTGCTGCTGAGAACCAAGCTTGTTTCCAAATGGCTTCAGAGAATCACACCTTGAAGAGCAACAGAAAATTCCCCTGACCCTGATACTTCAGTGATGGGCGGTTAGCGCTCAAAGGGTTTTTTTTTTTCTTTCTTTTTCTGGGCTTCATAGCAGTGTGTATTATTTTAAGTGTCTGCATCATGCTGTGTTTAATCTGTGAGGATAGCATCTGGAAACCTTTACAAATAAGGTTGAAAAGAGAACAAAAAAGTTTGAAAGAATTCCCAGCAAAAGATGATTTTTTTTTCCCAGTGATTTTACTTTGTTACAACAATGCCTACAGCCTGTAGAGTAATCATACAAAGCAAAGGAAAAGAAAAGAAACATTTGGGTTTGATTGCTGCCCTTTCCTACCTCACCCTTCCATCCCTCTTTTTTATAGCTTTTTTTTTTTCTCCGCTTTTTGGGTCACACCGGGCTGTTCTCAGGAATTACTCCTGTAGCCAATCAGTAAATTAGGGGAAAGTTCATGTCACTGTAAGGTGGTTTTTTTTTTTTTAATCTACCCTTTAGACCTGGACAGGATTGACTAAACAAATAGAATTTTTTTTTAATCTTAAAATATGGGCAAAATCCTGACACTTTTGAAGTGAGGACTTACTCTGTGAAGTGAGAATTTATATTTCTCCTGTGTGAGCTCTTTCCCCTGCACATAGCCTCACACCTCGAAAGTGTTTCTTTTTCAGCTTCTGATGGTTAATAATGTTTATTTGAAACCTCTTCATTTTCTTTTTTTTTTTTATAATTTATTTATTTATTGAATCACTGTGGGAAAAGTTACAGAGCTTTCAGGTTTAGGTCTCAGTCATGTAAATATCAAACACATTTCCCTTTACCAATACTTATTTTTTACCGCGAACCCCAATAGAACCCCACCTCCCACCCCTCCCAATTCCTGTGAGGCAGATGAGTTCTAGTTAACACTCTATCTACTTTGACTAGATTCATTGTTTCGATAAAGGATGCACCATTATTATTTAGAGTTTATGACACCCCCCAAATCAGACATGCTGAAAAAGCATTATGAAATGATTTGCTTTCTACAGCTGGGTTTTAAGAATTAAATGATGCGTGGCCGCACGGTTTTGGATTTCTGCTATTTTACTTATTAACCCTGGAAGTGTTTCAATTAAAAGTTAGATAGTTAAGAGATTGGTTTCTGTGCTCTGGAGTCGTGGCCGTGCCGGAGAGTCGCTCGTGGGGGGCAACTGGTGACCTTGGTAGGGCGAAAAGGACGGACTGGAATGCCCCCCTTCCCATGAGGTCCCTGCCACCCCCACCCCCGGCTCAAACCTGCTGTCCACAAGGCTCCCATGCAGCCGCCATCTTTCTTTCCAGAGAGGAGAGGGCGATGAAACCTCTTCATTTTCAAATGCATAGGAATTAACCATTGATCTATGTAACTGTGGGCTCAGTTATTTTCATTACACTCAAAGTGGATTTCTTTCTACGTTATGTCCCCAAACCAAGGGGTCAATAATGTTCATACTTTAAAAGAATATTTAATTGCCCTGTATAATTCAAAAGAAACAATAGCTACTGCATGACAAAGGTTCCTAATATTTTTTCTTTAAAAATTTGTGTAAATTTTTTTAATCTTTTTTATTTTATAAAGTACTTTGTTCACAATGGGCTGGAGCGATAGCACAGCAGGTAGGTTGGGTTCTTTTGCCTTGCACACAGCCGACCCAGGTTCGGTTCCTTCGTCCCTCTTGGAGAGCCCGGCAAGCTACCAAGAGCATCCTGCCGGCACAGCAGAGCCTGACAAGTCCCTGTGGGTATTCGATATGCTAAAAACAGTAACAAGTCTCACAATGGAGATGTTACTGGTGGCCGCTCAAGCAAATCGATGAACAATGGAACAACAGTGCTACAGTGCTACAGTTCACAATATTTGATTACATTTAATATTCAGACACCAAGCCCACCACCTTACACCTTCCCACCACCATATTTGGGATGTTTCCATACCAAGCCCCAATCCCTGCCCCAAAGCACAACCAAAATAATATATTTTGTATTCTCCGTTAACAGAAAAATCACTGAAAATGCTACAAAAGTATCTATAAAGGAAACAGTGTGAAGATTGTTGCATTTTGGCAGAAGCCATTAAGGCATTCTTTGTAATATCAATAACATGTTGTTAAAAGTTGAGTGATGAGAGCTTTCATATATATATTTCTTAAAATATGTATATATGCACATATATATATTTCCCTCTATGATTTGTTCCCTACTATTTGAACCCCATCAAATGTGGTGTGGTACTTATTAAAAAATGGATAGGCAGTGTCTTATAATGCGTCACGTGGCCGCATTTGTGGCTGCACGTTCCAGGAATACATTCACTCATGCGTGAGGCTTGACCCTAGCATGTGGGGAGTGTCCTTGAGCATGGCAGCAATTGGGTTCTTAAGGTTTTCAGCTGCTGGGGCTGGGTCCCTTGGGGTGGAGAGGACTCTCACCCGCCCTCCTCTGGGCTACCCTGAGTGAAACAGCCTGGCGTGGAGTCTGGTGGCATAGCTATGGTGTGTGTGTGGGGGGGGGGGCATTGTGTTGCTCCTTCTGGGAGAAAAAGCCATGTGATCTGGAAGGTGACTGATGACGAGATTATCTGGCACTGGCAGGAGGTGGCTTATGGGCATGACCCCTGGGTCGCTGGAAATTTGGGGGTAAACAAGCAGAGGATCTCCACTCCCGATCCTGTTGTGCCCAGAGTCCAAGGTCACAAAGTTCCACATTACCTGGGCTCTGTCGGATTCCACTCATGCGTGAGGCTTGGCCCTCGTGTGTGGGGAGCAGCCTTGAGCATGGCAGTGGTTGGGAGCTGGAGGTTTTCTGCAATGTTGCATCAATATTAAAAGAAATATAGTTCATCTGCCTATTTTAAATTACTTGTTTTTGCAGTACATGTCTATTTACCTATAAAAAAAGGAAAAAATATATTAATTTCCAACAATGTCAAATTGACTTAAAAGGTGGCTATAGATGTATATAATATTGGACCACCAAAGACATAGGGATTGCACGTATCTGAAAATAAGGAATCTTCTAGTGTGTATCAGCTGTATTTCCGTTTATATCATGTGCAACATGAATGACTTTTTAAGAACTAACCAACAGCCGAAGGTCATTCATCCCTTAGCAATGGTCTCTCCTCTGAATCACACGATACAGGAGTCACAGCTGGTACGTGCTGTGTTTGAGGTTCTCTGCCAAGTGCTTTCCTTCAGCTCATTCCGTCATCTTATTCTGAGGAACGGATTTCTCTCCCCCATCTTACAAACGGGAACACTGAAGGCCTGAGGTTAGACCCCCCAGCTCGGAGCCATGGAGCCAATCAGCAGACAGAACCAGATGCCAACTCCTGCTCTCTGGCTTGTGAAAACCTGGGTTGTTGATGCCCAGCACCTCACCTCCATTTCCTCCATGCTCTGAAAGTGAGTCTCTCCCTGACCAGCTGTGTAGGGTCCCCCACGCCCGTTTCCTGTCTGCCTGACTAATGACAGCACTTCTGCAATACTTGTTCGATAGGAACTTTCTCTTTGGGTGTTCTGTGCATATAGGGTTCAGGTGCATAAATTGATGTGCAGAGACTTGGGCTTGGTTTCCTAAAACCAAGTGTGTGTGCGTGTATGTGTGTGTGTGTGTGTGTGTGTGTGTGTGTGTGTATGTAACACTTAATAACATTAAATGTTGCTGTATTTATATAAGATCTTTTAACTAGTCCTGGAAAAACAGCGTATTCTTTCAGAAACACACTCCCCCGTTTTCTGGGCACTGATGAACTGGGCTCTCTCTAGCTGATAATGGAGAGTAAGAATGGAGAATACACCAAATCATCCTGCCAGAGATTACTATAATGTTTCTGTAGATAATAGACCTTTCATTATGAAAATTCTTCAAGAAAGCCTGAGGTTTGGCGGGGTCGCCTGAAATCCACTTAAAGGACTGCTTCTGGTAGAATGTTCCGCGGTCACACTCTACAGGATTACTTAGCAGTATCTCTCGAAATTAAATTGCCTAAGGCATGCCTACTCTTTGACCCATTTCACGATAGCAAGTGGAAATTTGCACTATGCTTTAACTGTTCAAAAAAAAAAATGCCCCTTTCGATCATTCATTCGCTTAGCCAATTTATGGAGATCCAATTATGTCCTAGGTACCCACACCACCAATATTTTCCTACATTTTTTCCCCAAAGCACAATCTGAAAACTGCAGCGCTGCGAATAGTATTTGAGCAGGCCATTTAAAGACACTGAAAATATTTGCAACATAATTTTCAATGAAAATGCAGGTCAAAAACAAACAAAAAAAAAGAATGAAAATGAAGGTCATAAATAGAACACTCATATATATAAAGATTAAAAAAGACCGAAAACACATAGAAAAAAATTTACTGGTCAGATAGTTCTGAGTGGTAGATTTAGTGGTTATTTATCTTATAATTCTGAGTTTTAAATTATAATGTCA